TAAGGTATCAGTACCCAAGTCAACAACATATTAATAACCTTGATGACTATTTGAATGATCTTCACAATCAGGATTTGAATTATTTAATGGAAAAAAAAAACAAAATTCGATGTATCTTGATAACCATAAATAAAATATATGAAATCAATAATTCATATTTCGTTTGTTTTTGTTCATTTATTGATAATAATTACTTGGCTACTGAAAGTTATTTTTCTGTTGAATCAATATTCATTGGCCATAGTTCATTTTCTATTGATGATATTGTATTTTTTAATGTCAATTTACCTTGAATATGATGATCATCAATTGCAAATATTTCTATTTTATCAATATGTTCATTAACAACATAAAGTAAATCATGATGTGGTAAAAGTCATGATGAACCTTTTTCACATTTTAATTCATTAATGGTAATTGTTCACTTGAGGTAAAATTACACGCTTAGATAGTTTCAACATCAGTACCAATAAGAAATATTTGATTACTCGTGATATTATCTAGAATGTAGAATAAAATATACGCTTCTCCTTGTATTTAACTCTCAAGATCATGCGCATTGACAATAACGACAAAAAAAAACGTTCTCAAGTATGATGTGCTTTTGTAACTTACAATTAACATATATATACAGATTGTTCATATAAAATAGATAAAAAGTGCCCGCAAGGTTCAAATCTCGTACATAAAGAAAAGAATCAAATAGACTGTACATTTTCAAAAGCCCCTCTGATAAAGAAAAATCTCGAATACATTTCATCTTTTGCTATTTGTAATTCTTTTTACGACTTCTTGTTTTACCCTTTAGTTATCAAGAAAAGATGAATATACGTAAAATAGAATGGTTGTATACCACACATGTTTGTATTTCTTACCGCAAGAGTTTAGTATGAACCGTAACCAAATGATGACGTAGAAAGCTTCTGTTACTTGACATTGGTATTGACTCATGCATCTAATAAACGTAGATTATAAATGATTTTATTAGTTCAAACTATGATTAAATTTATGACACATTTTATATGAGTGAATTGCTTCAATTGATCTGACAATTTCATAGAATAGTTCTCTTAGCGACTTCGTACACTTCCGGAAATTTCAGCAGGCTAAGTCATTCTCATTCCGAATTATGCTTGTTGTAAGTGAAGCAAAAGCAAAAAATGTCACCATCTCTTGGCGAACACAAACTTTTTTCAATTAAGAAAGCTTTCTTTTCACGTTTTCTTCAATGCAGATAGATAGAATAAAGTACATTGAATCACAATCTGAGTTCTGTTTTCTTTAAAAAAGAAATAGGATATCTTCCGGTGGATTCGAGTATTTCCAGACTAGATTCGTTTAGGAACACTTTCCAACGCTCTGATACAACTTTCCGAGTAGATCTCGACGAGTCCTATCCATTTCATTCAGTTATTCGCAGTCAAACCACTTCCTAGACACCTAAAATACCAAAAACTGCTAAAAAACCACCACATTAAGGTACAATTTTGTAAACCTTGTAGCGATTCCCTCCTATAAACTTTCCAACGTTCTAATGCAATTTTCCAACTAGATCTCGATGTGCTCTATCGAATGGAATCATTTTCAGCTCAATCCCGTGCTTGTCTTGCCTCCGAATTGGCAGAAACCTGCAAAAATCCTAGATACTCTAATAAAATCGTTCCGGCATTCGCCCCTATCAACTGCCCAACATTCCTATACAACTTTCCAAGCCGATGTTGACGAGCTCTATCGAATGGAGTCTTTTTTCGCTCCCTGCTATATTTCGAACGCCTGGAGATTTGCAGAAAACATGCTACACGGTGCGTTTTCAGGGAAACCTGGCCTGGATTCGTTCTCACGAACTTTTCAATGTTCTAATGAGACTTTCCAAGTAGATCTCGACGAGCTCTTTCGAATGGAGTCCATCTTAGCTTCCTTGTATACGTCCAATGCCTGGAAATCTGCAAAAAACCATGCTGAACGGTGCGTTTTCTGGGAAACCTGGCCTGGTTTCGTTCTCATGAACTTTTCAATGTTCTAACGAGGCTTTCCAACGAGACCTTCGCTGGCTCTATCGAATAGATTCACTTTAAGCTCAATTCCGTGCTTCTCTTGCCTGCGAATTTGCAGAAACCTGCGAAAATCCTAGATACTCTAATAAAATCGTTCCGCGATTCGCTCCTATCAACTTTCCAACGTTTTCATACAACTTTCCAAGTAGATGTTGACGAGCCCTATCGAATTGAGTCTTTTTTAGCACGGTTCTTTACGTCCAATGCCTGGGAATTTCGAAAAAACATGGTAAACGGAGCGTTTTTTTGCGAAACCTGGCCTGGTTTCGTTCTCATGTACTTTTCAACGTTCTAATCGGGCTTTACAAGTAGATCCCGACGAGCTCCATCGAACGGATTCACTTTCAGCGTAATTCCGTGCTTTTCTTGCCTGCGGATATCCAGAAACCTGCTATAATCCTACATACTCTAATAAAATTGTTCCGGGATTCGCCCCTATTAACTTTCCAACGTTCCTATACAACTTTTCAAGTAGATGTTGACGGGCTCCATCGAACGCAGTCTTTTTTAGCTACGTTCTGTGAGTCCAATGCCTGGAACTTTGCCAAAAAACTGCTAAACAGTGTGTTTTCTGGGAAACCTCTCCTCGATTCGTTCTCCTGAACTTTACAATGTTCTAATCGGAGTTCCCAAGTAGATCCAGACGGGCTCTATGGAATGGATTCACTTTCAGCTCAATTCCGTGCTTTTCTTGCCTGCAAATTTGCAGAAACCTGCGAAAATCGTAGATACTCTAATAAAATCGTTCCGGGATTCGCCCCTATCAACTTTCCAACGTTCGTCTACAACTTTCCAAGTAGATGTTGACAGGCTCCATCAAATGCAGTCTCTTTTACCTCCGTTCTGCACGTCCAATGCCTGGAAATTTGCAAAAAACATGCTACACGGTGCGTCTTTTCCGAAACCGGGCCTGGTGTCGCCCTCATGAACGTTTCAATGTTCTAATCGGACTTTCTAAGTAAATCCCGGTGAGCACTGTAGAATGGATTCACTTTCAGCTCAATTCCGTCCTTTTCTTCCCTGCCAATTTGCAGAAACGTTCTAAAATCCTACATACTCTAATAAAATCGTTCCGGGATTCGCCCCTATCAACTTCCAACATTCCTATACAACTTTCCGAATAGATGTTGACGACCTCCATCGAGTGGAGTCTTTTTTAGCTCCCTTCTATATTTCTAATGTCTGGAACTTACGAAGAAACATGGTAAGCGCTGCGTTTTCTTGCGAAACCTGGCCTGGTTTCGTTCTCATCAACTTTTCGATGTTCTAACGAGGCTTCCCAAGTAGATCTCGACGAGCTCTATCGAATGGATTCACTTTCAGGTCAATTTCGTGCTTTTCTTGCCTGCGAATTTCCGGAAACCTGCTAATATCCTAGATACTCTGTTTAAATCGTTCCGGGTTTCGCCCCTATCAACTTTCCAACGTTCGTATACAACTTTCCAAGTTGATGTTGACGAGCTCCATCTAGTGGACCCTTTTTTAGCTCCTTTCTATATTTCCAATGCCTGGATATTTGCAAAAAACATGCTAAACGGTGCGTTTTCTCCGAAACCTGGCCTGGTTTTGTTCTCATGAACTGTTCAATGTTCTAATCGGACTTTTCCAGTAGATCCCGACGGGCTCTATCGAATGGATTCACTTTCAGCTCAATTCCGTGCTTTTCTTGCGTGCGAAATTCCAGAAACCTGCTGAAATCCTTAATACTCTAATAAAATCGTCACCGGGATTCGCCCCTATCAACTCTCCAAGGTTCCTATACAACTTTCCAAGTAGATGTTGACGGGCTCCATCGAACGCAGTCTTTTTTCGCTACGTTCTGTACATCCAATGCCTGGGAATTTCCAAAAAACATGCTAAACGGTTTGGTTTCTGGGAAACCTTGCTTCGATTCGTTCTCCTGAACTTTTCAATGTTCTAATCGGACTTCCCAAGTAGATCCTGACGAGCTCTATGGAGTGGATTCCCTTTCAGCTCAATTCCGTGCTTTTCTTGCCTGCGAATTTGCAGAAACCTCGAAAATCCTAGATACTCTAATTAAATCGTTCCGGGATTCGCCCCTATCAACTTTCCAACGTTCCTATAGAACTTTCCAACTCGATATTCACGAGCTCTATCGAATGGAGTCTTTTTTAGCTCCATTCTGTACGTCCAATGCCTGGGAATTTCGAAAAAACATGGTAAACGATGTGGTTTCTGGGAATCCTGGACTGGATTCGTTCTCATGTACTTTTGAATGTTCGAATGGGACTTTCCAAGCAGATCTCGACGAGCTCTATCGAATGGATTCACTTTCAGCTCAATGCCGTGCTTTTTCTTGCCTGCGAATTTGGAGAAACCTGCTAAAATCCTAGATACTCTAATAAAATCGTTCCGGGATTCGCTCCTGTCAACCTTCCAACGTCCCTATACAACTTCCCAAGTAGATGTTGACGGGCTCCATCGAATGCAGTTTTTTTGAGCTCTGTTCGGTACGTTCAATGTCTGGAAATTTCCGAAAAACATGCGAAACGGTGTGTTTTTTGGAAAAGCATGTCTCGATTCGTTCTCATGAACTTTTCAATGTTCTAATGGGACTTTCCAAGTAGATCTCGACAAGCTCTATCGAATGGATGCACTTTCAGCAACATTTCGTGAGTTGGTGGAAGCTGCTGATGAAGATATGGTCGCAGCAGGTAATTTCACACAGTGCCCGACGATTGAAGCATTAAAGAAATTTGGAGTGGATTATCGAAAGAAGATGCGTTTTGATGAAGATGTGTTCAGAGAATGTCGAATTCTAAGTTGCTTTTATCGCAAAGAAGATACTACATCTGAAAAAATTTTAGGTAAGTTAGACTTTTCAAACAAAAAGAGTCTATTCAGAAGCTTTGATACTTGCTTTTTATAGGATATATTCACAATTTGGGAGAAATGCCATTTCGATCACATCTGTTTACTGAATCACAATTGCGGTGATTCATAAGGTATATTGAGAACGAAAAATATTCTTTTATTCATATTGATTCGACTGGTGGAGTATTAAAGCCAATGAAAGAACAAAATGATATATACGTTTATACAATAATGTTCAAAGATGGCATTGATGCATTGGATAATGTTCCACTAGCACACGCGATTTTAACAGATCACACAGTTCCGGGTATTCTTTACTTTCTTGGCAATGTAATTCATAGTGTCAATCAAGTGACATCAAAGAAAAAAATACGTCTCCCTTCATTTATCATCATCGATTTCTCTGCTGCTCTTATGAATGCTGCTCTTCAACAATTGAATACTGAAACTGTTAACAAACATCTTAAACGATGCTGGGATGTTATACATGGCAAATATAGTGCTGAAAATATTCGATCATTATCTTTTATTCATTTATGCTGTTGCCATGTTACGCATGCCATTGCAAGAAGTCTGAATGCTGAAAAAATTGAAAAAAATCAGGAGAAGATGTGTTATATATATTCGCTTATATGTTATGTAGCGATGATATCAATCAATTATATGACACATTAGGATTAGTGATTAATATATTCGGCGATCCAAACGAACAGAACGCAAAAGAGAAGCTTGATCAAATATGCTCTCTTAAATTGAACGTTGATGAAGAAAGTGAGTCAATTTTAAAGGACTTTGATAAAATTTTTAGAACAGCTGAAGAGAACGAAGAAGAATTAAAGCTTGTGGATGAATATTTTGAATCAGATGAACCTATTATTCATCAGTCGCCATTTAATAAAGAGGCTATTAAACGCTATCCATTGCTGGATGAGATAGTAATAAAAAAAAAGATAAAAAGCAGTAATAATAATGCATTGTTTTCTGCATCGATAATGCGTATATTCTATCGATGGTGGGCATATTTGCCACTATGGACAGGTTTGTTATTCGATTTCGAAGAACGATATGCCAATGACATGCAGCAGAATCCATCAGTAGTATACTATCCCATCGGATACTCCAATGCGGTTATTGAAAGTTATTTCCGCACATTTAAAAAAAGTATCTGCCAAGGAAAGAGGTAAACCACCTCAAGAAGTTATCATGGCATTACATAGAAGCGTGAAAGTGCAATCAAAGGCTGATCAATTTGGATTAACACAAAGTTCAAAGGGAAGAAAAAGAAAAATGACCAATGTAGGCATACTAGAAAAATGGAAGAAGTGAACACACGAAAAAATTCGTCGGAGCAAATACACAAACCTAATTGATAAATTTGCATCGAAACGTGCACGACAAAAGGAAGATCAATCGCAACCAGACAGTGTCACGAAAAAATACAGGTAATTTCTGTTGAACTCTAATCTATTTAATTATATCTTTTCGTTTAGTGAATCGGAAAATATGACGACCGCTTCTTCATCAAACAAATCGAAATCATCTTCTAAAGCTCCAAGCGAGAAAATCTCAATCAAGTAAGAGAAACATCATTCTGATGCCAATTAATAAATATTTTTAATTTAGTGAATCATCTCGTTCCAGCATAAGAGATTCATTATCATCATCTGAAGCGGCTACCAAGGTACGTCATGAATATTCTAATGATATTTCAAACAATTTAGATGTGCCGATGAACAATGATCATCAACAAAGTGAAATTTCAATGGAAATCAGTTTGAACACAAGTTCATCTTCAATACTAACAAACACTTTGATTGCTGTTAACGAAGGTATGTAATGATATAAGTTAATCTACATATTATAATAGAGCTATCATATTTATAGCAGACAAAGTGACAACTAATCAATTATCAAAATATCTGTCCATCAACATCCAAACTCATCCAGAAGCAACAATCAACGGCTTTACATTGAAATGGCCCAAATTTGAAGTTAAAAATGTTCTATTTAAAGGTAATAAAGAAAAAAACTAAATGATGAATACATCATTCACAATCAAATCCATGCGTATTCTTTTTTTTTATCAAGGTCACACATATTCTTTGAAAAACACATGTGCTATTGATTCGGCTCTGTTTGCTATCTACTTCATGTATGCGACAGATGTGACTATCTCCTCTGAGTTCAAAGAAGCGCCAGAATCGTCACCTTATGCAACCCATGTAACCATTTTTAGGATTAGTGACGCGTTTCCGAGCGTTTGTGCAATATAACGTGACGCGTTAAAACGCGTCCAAAATGCAACATTTTAGGGCGTTCAAACGCGTTTCATTCAATAAACGCATCTACGCTGGTTTAAATTCGTGCGTTTAATTTATTCCCAAAAAGAATTCAAAAATAATCATCACCCTATATTGGAATCGAACCGACGCACCATAGCGAGCTATGATATAAGACTCAAATCCTGTCAGCGACCGAATGGTAATTTTTCAGCGACAACTTGAACCGAGATTTGAACACGCGACCAACTAATTGCGAACCAAGCACAACTAGCTCTGAGCCATCCATGCCTCGAAAGTGTTTCTATATCATTGAACCAAATGAATAATTCTTTTTTCTCTCTTTAATATAAGGTTTCACAATGGAGATATTGTGATTTATCTTTACTTCGTGAAATAATTATAAATAAAATATTTATATTAATAATATCCATAAAATAGAAAATTTACATTTATGAAATAAAAATGAAGATTTTAAGATTTCAATTTTAAAAAATAAAGATTTTTTTATTTATTTTTATTTTGTAAATATTATAAATATGAATATTTTATTTATGATTTATCTGTATTTCATAAAATAATCATATATAAAATATTTAAATTTATAATATTTATTAAATAAAATATTTACATTTTCAAAATAAAATCCTTATCTTCATAAAATAAAGAAGATTAAGTTTCTTTATTTTTTTACAAAATAGAGAAATTAAAGAATGAAAATAGTTTATTTAAAGTTAGACAATTATACAATTTAAAATGAAGATAATACAGTTTTTTCTGAAATATATGGAAAAAATAAAATCTTAGATTTTTACGTAAAAAAAAAATCATCAAATTTTTATTTTCTAAAAATGAAAGACTCATTTTTTTTTACTTTATAAAACCAAATAAAAGGCCATTTATTATTATATCATTAAATATAAACAAAACTATTTGTATTAATATTATTTTTTTAAATGTAGAAAACTTATAATTTGAACAATATTTTTAATTTTTAATAATTCAAACATCGTTATATATATATTGACAATTCAACACGCATCAACTTATTTCAAACAAAAATAAAAGGATATTTTTTGTCATCTATTCAACAAAAAATAGTAAATTTTAATTTAAAAAGATCGGCTTGTTTTTTGCATTCCTTTTTTTCCAAACAATGCCAATAAATATTCAATATATTTTGACTAACACAAATTAGAAATAATAAACAAAAAGCATTTTTAGCGGCTGGTAAATAGCTTCTTTTAATTGTTGAGTATATTTCTAAACGCATGAAAAGGTCTGGAGCAGACCAACGCGTTTCGAACGAAAATAAAAACGCATGTGTACGCGTTTATCTCAGTTTTTGCTATCAAGCTCGTAATGCTCTTTAAACGCGTTCAAACCGAACGCGTTTCCATTATTCTTTAATACGAAAACGCGTCGAAACGCCGGCATTTCCAATAAAAACGCGTCAGAACGCCAATATTTTCAACAGAAACGCATCTAGCCGCGTCCATTGTGCGTTTCGTGGTTACATGGGAATACTGGTGGAAACTTTCAATATCGTAGAAAAAGAAGGATGGGACGCTGCACGTATTTACTGGCTACTTAAATTTAAAATTTTGAAAGCAACTGATCAAAAACCCAAAGACCTGTTCGGTTCTGTTGATGAACTCGTATTTTCTTTTCTTAAAAGTAGACAACGACACTCAAATGAAATTATATGTTCACGGTCCGATTGTCCCAAAAAAGAGCGCAAGTGTACATCAACTGAATTGGATATTTTGTAAGCATAAATTTTTCAGTAAAATCTCTTTCATAATCAATTTTTTTTTCTAGTGCGACCGACGAGCACATTGACAAATTTGAGATTGAAACTGAAGGTGTGTGTCCAGTAATGGTGAAACGCCGACAAGAAATGAGTGAAGCAGAAGCACTTCGAAAGAAATACAAAGATGGTCGCGTGCCCCTTTTCAATTGTGAAACAAACACAAATAAATACGAGTATGTTGACTCTCTTTTCTTGAAAGTCTTAATTGTTTTTTCCCATCAAGACGTGGCTGGGTATGTAATGCTCGAAATATTCAAACATCAGCTATATTTGATTATGGCCATCCTCCCATTATCATTGTAAGTATTAAACCATTTTCAAGAAGAACTAATGAAGGCTATGAACCAAAACAAGTCCGACTTCGTGATCTTAAAGACACCATCAGAATCAGTTCTATTAAGTATATATTGAAAATACTTTTCATTTTTCATATATCTTTTAGTCAATGACATACAGTAAGCATTTTAAAACAGCTATCTTCTTATATACACTTGAATTCAAACTACATACTAATGCTCTTGATTGCTCTTTTTTGTTTTTCTAATTGTTTCCTTTCTGTGATAGATACCAGCTGGGCGCCGTTATCAATCATCGAGACGCACACTTCACCGCCACCCTAATTGGACCCAACAAAGATTTGTACATTTACAACGATCAACAAGGTGTTCGGCCTACTCGTTCTTCAACAGACCGTGTCGAAATGGCCATTTACACTCAAATCTATGAATATTAGTCTTTTTTCGTAATTCTTCCATGATTTCGTTAAAAATGTTTTTTTTTTGTAAAAATAATTCAACCTATATCTGTACATGTCAATAAACAAGTGATGTCAAACACAACTGTCAAGATGACACCTCACAATGTATACGTATATTTGTCGTTCCTCTTGTTTTGGCACATAACTTCTCGCTTGATAAAACACAATACGAAAGAAAAAGAAATGAAAGCGAAAGAAGAAAAACAACTCTGTGTTTTAAACGAACAGAACAGAAAAAAGAACGGAAGCGAAAGAAGAGAAACAACTCTACTTATTGAACGGACTGAACAGAAAAAAAAGTTAATTGATGAACATGAAAGATGAAAAGATGAACAACGAATGTTAGTATCCTCTTGGCACATGCTTTGAACTCTTTGATAGTACTAAGAGCAAAATAACATAACATACAAAGAGCAATATATGTAAATTAATTATGCAATTTGAACAACAATGATGTACATATATACCTATAAATATAGAATGAAAATTTGGAACATTATCATTCATCTTTTACTGTATCCAATATGCTCTTTTCTATCGTCTTGCTTGCTCTTCTCGTTCATGTTAACTCTGCTCCAGTAAGTAACTTTATTGAGTCACGAACAATTAGCTTATTGATGTTTGCATGTAGGAATATAACAGTCTTGTTGATTTAATCAATAAGGAATATTATATTAAAACAAGCACCATCGCCATCCTCACCACTACAAATGAAATCGAACAAATAAAAAAAATTGCAGACAATATCAACATCACCACCGAAAAAATCAAGATACTTCTTCCACCATTAATTATTTTAATTGTCACGGTTTTCTCCATCATAGTTAGTTTTTTAAAAAAAAGTTATGCAAATAATGGTCATTGCAAGGTAAACATCGAGAGATATGTAACTATTCATTGAATTAATGTAGATTTTTTTTCAGGCTGCTTGGTTTTGTTGTAAATCACTTGATGAATATAGACGACGTCGCCAAGCAGTTCGAGGTAAGTTATTGATATCTTTTTTACATTATGATTACTTTTATTTTAATTCTAGAAAGAAAAATATCTCTCAATCAGCTGACCGAACAGTCGACCCCCACTATTTATGCCATCGCTTAAGTTATCTTTTATTCTTTCCTTCCCTTCTAATTAATTGTATATTTTTCTTTCCTTCCTTTGCAATTAATTGTACGTTTTTCTTCTCTTGTCCTTCTTTGTTTGTATATTTTTTTATAATAAATCTTGTCAATTGTATTGCTGTCTTATTACTTAAAGGGTCTGAATTCGGATGCAATATGAAGCACACAAGCAACATAAACATTATAAGGAGATGAATGTACATGTCGATAACTGATCATACGGATGAGTAATTTTCTAATCGAAAGACTTAATCGTAACCATCGGCTTGATGAATATCATCGATAGTATCTCTTTACATACTTTCGATCAGCGGTTTACGATAAAAAAAAAGATATATGCGGGTGTGGGGTGTGGGTGTGGGAGTGGGTGAGGGTGTCGGTGTGGGTGTGGGTGGGTGTGGGTGTCGGTGTGGGCGTGGGTGTGGGTATGGCGTGTGGGTGGGTGTGGGTGTGGGTGTGGGTGTGGGTGTGGGTGTGGG